CTGCTTTAAAAGCAATTAATTCCTTGGTAAAATTAAAAACGTCTAATCAATTTGAGATTAGTAATAAGGTTAAGGACAATATAGCAACTGGTGATTTCTAAGCACCTAGCCCCAGTTCAGCCACTTCATAGCACTGGGAAGGACATCTAATTGCTACTTCTCAATCTGAAGAAAAGGACATCCATCTCGCAATATGCATTTACCAAATACTAAAAGAGAAATTGCACCACCAGGACAATAAAGTCTATTCTAGGCCATTTGGATTATTACTAAAAAAGGAAAAACAGGCACAAGTATCAAAAAAGGTATATCAAAGCAGTAGCTTTCCTCCACATATGTGATGAATTGGATGTGTTGCTAAGGACTTGGTTCTAAAAGTCCAAAGCAAGGCAGCAAGTGCCACATGACAAAATGTGGCAGCTGGGGAGAGGGGTGCACAAAACACTTTCCAGAGACATAATTTAGGCCAGGGTAGTTATCAAGCGCTGCAGGTGAAATGGGAAAACTGTAGTGTTTACACTTTTCCTACCAATGTATCAGTCAGCAACACGTGACGAAAAGAAAAGCAGGAGCAGCCTGCCTCAAATACTCAATACTACGGTGAATTGAAATGAAGGTAGCAAAGTCTCACATTTCAAAATCGAAAGCAACAATTTTCTACTGGCAATGATATTCTCCAGAAATATTTCTTAGTTATCTGGCTGGAAATAGTTGCTTTGAGATGCAAAGTTCTATGCAGAAAACACCTTAGATACTTAGGAACAGTGTCTAGAAGAAAATGAGAGCCACAAATCTGCAGGAGAAGCTTGGTATTAGTTTGTAGCAGGAACTAAGGCAATAACATAATTCAATGTAAGTAAACTTTGGCAACCTTAGAGTGTGAAGGAAACAAATGTAATGTAGACTGGGCCACTGGAACGTGGAGAGACCACTGGACTTGTTGTATTCAAGAAAAAAAGTTTCTATAACCATTCCTTGCAATATCAGAATTCAAATGACTCCAGTAAATTCAGAGACAAAATGATACAACTGCCCTAATATGTTAAAATACTTTCTTTCGAGATACTCTAGGAAGGATAAGAGAGTTAACCCTTATTAAGCACCTACTATGTGCTTTACATGTATGAGGATTTTATCACATCTTCTGTTGGGGGAGGGGACACCATTCCCATTTTACAGTTGAGGAAAGTAAGGTCATATGTCATCTAAGTTGCATAGTTAATGAAAAGCCAGAGTTTGATCAAAATGAAAAAGTGCCAAACAGATCACTTAACAAAGACAGCTTGGAAGGGTTCATATAACAAAGGCAGCTTAGAAGGGTGCTACGTTCTGAATAAGAGAAAAACTATTTATCTCAGCACCACTGAAGATAAGTGAGATTTCTCCTAGTACCCACCATATCTTTACACCACTGGAATTCTCTTATCACCATTTCTGGATGTACCTTGGGTTTCAGATGTGTATCATACTTGCTAGTCATATTTCAGGCTACGTTGGAAGATTTAGAAGACTTGGCACTTTTCAGGCAGTGTTATGTAATGGAACTGGGCTCTGTCTGGGACTTGGAAGCCTGGGTCCAGTTCAGGCTGTGTCACTTATTAACTAAGAGAGTAGTCAAGTTACATTGCTTCTCTGGGTGCCAGTGTTTTCCATCCCCATGAGGTTGGGCTAAGTATCCTTAATAAGGACACTCCTGGCTCCATGATTCAACTCTCTTTGACTCAACTGTTTAAGATTGTGACGACTTCCATCAAAATACATTTAAAATGACCTAAAGAGTTAGCCAATTTATCTAGGCAAAAATGTTGTGTAGTTCAAATTTAAATTAAAAAACTTAGAAAGTAAAAACAAACCCAGAAGAATAACTTCTACACTCCAACATCTGCAAGAGTTAACCAGGAATGAAATGCTTTAGTGTTTTTGGGGGGAGTTTGTTAAGAGTAAATATTTTTCAAGTTCTTAAGACAGCACTGGGTGAAAATCCAGGCTCTGTTTCCTACTATTTCTTTAACATCTCTGAGTTCTGTTTCTTGCCTTTGTAAAATTGGAATTGATAATGAATATTAGCGGTAATTTAGTTAACGTGTCCGGCGTCTAGTAGGGGTGTAAATGCTAGTTTATTGTTATCACAGCAGTCATTAGGGGTTTGGTCTACATTTGGGTAACAATTCAAAGGAAATTTCTCCACAGAGAAATGGAGCCTAAGATCATAACCTCATTAATGCTGGGAACTTGCCATTAACCTGTGTCTATGCAATAAACTCAGGTGCAGAGTGGAGACATGTAATTGCTTTCTTCTAGACCTATTGGTATCTCTTTCTCTGTGAAACTTGTTCATTTGTTTCTTAGTGGATAAAGCCTGATCAGAGACACGCTGATGTATTTGATGACAGAGCTCAAGGAAGTATCTGAAGACAGAAGTGTCCTGGGACGTCTGGGAAGAGGGGCACTCATACTCACACATCACTTTTTGTGTCTTTTTGCAAATTTTCCAATTTCTGTCTTTTGGGCACAAGGAACAAAAGGAAGCCAGAAAAAGAAGGAAGTGGCTTCTATTTGTTTCCAAACTGAAAATAAAAATATTCTGATGCTAGCAGATAACTGTTAGCATGTAAAGATCCCATGCATTGGAGTGACTGCTTCTTGACCCTTCCCCCAAAAGCTTTCCCTTTCCTTCTCTTCCCTGCTGCCCACACACTCTCTCACATCCTGCCCTTGTCTACACTCACTTTTTGAGACTCATTTTTCCCTCCCTCTCCGAGTTTTGTTTTGGTGCTGTGATGTTGGTGGGAAGCCTGGCAGAGATGAGAAGAGAAACACAAGAACCACATTCAAATCACCTGTGCTCTTTAAGCATACATGAAGCCAGAGGGGAACTCTGAATGGCCTATTTTCTAAAAGGAAGACCAAGAAAGGTTTTAAACATTTCTCTGTTTTCTACAGGTATATTTCTTGAGCAAAAAGTGGCAACATTTCAAATGTTTCCAGCCTTTTTTAAAGAGGTAAGTCATACATACTAACCAAAGCTTTATGAAGTTCAAAAGAGAAAACAAATCATTGCTAAATAATTATTATTAGCGAGACCATGCTAATTCCTAGATCTCTTTTGTTCATAACATTATATGATTAAAAGGATAATTTTAGTGCTTTAATTATAGTTTAATCGTTGCTATGCCGACATTTTTATTATATACCATTATCACAACTAATCATATGTCAGTTGATGGGGTCTTGGCCTGTAATGGGATCTTCCCAATAATAATAGTGCTGTTATAGAATGTGACCTATTTGGTAATGATTCACTATATAACAACTTTCACAGGACAGACGTGTTATAGGACAGCTTATAACATCCCTTTAAATGCTTTAAAAAATCTTCACTAATTAAGTTTTTAGAGCTATTAGCTTGAGTGGGGGTTATTAGTACATTAAAAAAGATGATATCTTAAGGTTTGCTTTAATAATTTGTTCCCCATTTCATTTTTTATTGCCCCTTTATATAAAATTCACAAAGAAGGATTAACAACTGTTATAAATTACTCTATAAAAAGAAAGAGGGGAGAAGGGAAGTGGGGAAACAGAAAAGAGAGAAGGCTGTCAATTTAGGCAAAAACAGAGTCTTGCTTAATATTTGTTTGTGATCAGGACTTTGGTTAGGAATTACCTATTATATATCCAAATCCATCTACGTGGTACCTTTCAGATAAACTGAGGTTCCAGGAAAAATCCAGTACTTTTAAATGTCATGCCAAATGATTATGCTTTCTCAAAGATGCTGTGCAGATTCAAACAGCTCACGGTTTTAGGTTACAATGCTTTTGAAGCAATAACATCTTTGAGTTTGATATACTGCAATTTAGCGGTTCTGGATGACTACATAATCTCTCCCTGTTGGGTTGAAATTCTACATTCTGTCCTTTTCCAAACTCTCACCGATTAATCATCTATCCAGACAAAAAAAAAATGTGCTTGGAATTTTTTTTTTCATGCATATATATATGGAATTGCAAGGTAATTCCACAGAGTGGAAAATGCTGAACTCCTCATAAATGTACCATTGATCCCCAAGTCAGCCTTCTGGCAAGTATAATCTTGATTTATTCTCTATTGTTTTATACCTGAATGTTTCATATCTTGCCTTTTAAATCTTCTGTAAAATCCTCAAGGCGAGAGACCCCACGATAAAAACTTTCTTATATCTTTGACGGTGTCATGCCAGAAAGTACACATGAATACTTATAATTTCACTATTTTACTTAAGAGAATAGAATTTATTATTTGGTAACAGCTGGGCCATTGAGTGTTATTACGTGCGCTAGTAATGACCAAGTTACCTTAGGCAAGTCGCTTAACCTTCTTTGTCTTCCGTTTTTCTACTGGAAAACAATTTTTCAACTAGAGAGTTTAGGTCTTAGGGTAAAACAAAAACTTTTTTTAAACATCCTATTTGGGCCATTTAATAGAAGAATTGAACATATTATCTAAGGTTTCTAAACGTCCAACTCCTCACTTGTAGTTTGGGACTCAAGACAACGGTTTCACCTCCCAGAGATTTTTTTTTTTTCTCTTTGAAGCAGAATAAGAATATTAATATAAAGAATGCAGCACATTACCTGAACCTTGATTCATGCTCAATAAGTCAATTATTGAGTGCTAAGTTTCTTCCAGCACAGGGTGCTAAGATTAGAAATAAAACCTCAATTATCAAGCATCCAGATCCCCAGTATTCTCAACTGTGGCACCATTCTGATGCTAAAGTGAAAAAATAAAAAGTCGTATAAAGGACAAACCGGTTTGAGGTCCATATTTGTACTCACAGAGTAAGCAATAATTTTAACAATAATGATTAAATTGTGGCATTCATAACTGAGTATATAAAAAAGTCAAAGACAACATTTTAAAAAGGCAAATGATTAAGAAACCTGTTCTGAAATGCATGCTCAGAATTAGACACAGGATGTCACCAATCTATAGCCATTGGTTTGCACAAAGACACTGACCTGGCTTGCTGGAAGTGAAGAACTGAACACTCTGCTCACTGCTGGACTTACCTACATAAAAGAGAGAAATACTTTATAAATTCTACTGCCTGCCAGGAGTACATGGGGAGCCAGTAAAATTTTCAACATACGTTGTTTTCTTTTCTTCCCCCCGGAAAAGGGAAGAATCTGCTTTACTTTTGCAAAGTGCCAATGTTAAAGTGGCATTTCTTTGGGTCAAATACATCCTGAAATAGCTAGGTTAACATTTTGCTGCATTTGTGAAAATATATTTTTGAGCACTTGGGCACGATACCAAAAAAAAAAAAAAAAAACAACCCAAAAAACATGTAGCCACAAACTGAAAGATAACAATGAAAATCCTTACAGGCATTTGACAATATAGAAGTCGCAGATGTGGGCATGCTATTCAAAACAGCATTTTTAGACAATATAATCATAATTAAAAGACCAAAGAATTTTGCTTTTTCCTGTTGTGTTTTTATAGCTTACAATTTGTATTACTGAGCCAATAACATCAAACTGTTACATGTGTTTCTATTTCCACCTGTGTGATCACACAGCCCTATGCACTTAACAACAAAACTTCCTTCAAATTCTGGGAAAACAGTAATAGACAAAATTAGTATATTGACTATGATATTCTTGCTTCCTAATGATTTTCCAAAGCCTTCTGCACTAGGATCAACTGGTTAAACCTTCTTCCCATCAATATGTCCAAATATGATCCAGGAATCTCAGAGGAAACCAGGTTTACTATAATAATTTGCTGCTCACTCCACCTGTGGAGCAATATGCAGACATTATTTATACAGAAAAGAGCTTCTGTTTATTTTCCAGCAAGGAGTGACTCTCTTAAGTATCTACAAGGTTACTGGAAATGAAATGCAGTTCCAAATTTCTAAAAAGGGTTTGTAAACAAACTTATCAGAGTATGTTTTGAAAAGTCTAAGGCTTGCTAAGACCAAACAAACACAGCCTATTGACTATTTACTATCTGCTGCTCTTCAGAGGACTTATACAAAGATGAAACCACTGATAACAGTATTTTTTCTTTCTGTTTAGAGTATGTTAGTGTAGAAACGTACACCACAGCTGCAGTTGGGGGTGGGGGAGCCCCAAACCAGTGAAACTTCAAGCTGAGCATCTGGCTGGAGTTAAACAAGGCTCAGTGAACAGCACAGGATGGGGAAGTTCAAAGTCAGGGCAACTCTTCTGTTTTTAACTTCCTAGATTTTCCTAGACCTGGGTGCCTCTGTGTATATATCAACCTTCATGCATTTTTGCCCCCAGCAAATGTGTACAGTCAGCTCCAAAGGCACAGCTTGTGTGCTGACTTGCAAAGCCAAGTCAAAACCCTGTGCTTGGCGCTCCCTTCTAACTTTCTGGCTTGTCCAAGTCTAAATATTGACATTGCTCCTCGGTTGAGATGTTTGATACTGCTGGGAATGGAAACGGAGCAGCTAACAGTAGGATCTAATGATATATTTTTACATAGTTGTGCCTGCCTTCCACTTCTTTCTTGGGGAAGGGGACTGGATTCTCTTGTCTGCACACCTCCCCTTGGTTGCTTTCCCGGAAAGCTGAGCACACACAGGCAAGGTGTTCTGCAAGCCCCTCATGGCAGCTCCTCCTGTTGTCACAGCAACTCACAACAGACTCCATAGACACGGGGTTGCGGGGGAGGGGAAGGGAGCGCCAAACTGTGGTCTGGCCAGTCAACTCTCAAGAGGGTGCAAGCGCCAAAGGGGCTAGCGTATTCCCCTGCTCGGGTCCTCCGGTCCCCGCCCGGCCCCGCCACTGGCCTTCGAAGGAGAAGCGCCTTTTTGTCGGCGCGGCACCACCCCCTCCCTGGCGCAGCCAGACTGCTAAGGGTGCCTGTTGTACGTTTCCTCAGCTCCAAGTTAGGGGTGCGGCTGTGCGGGCACTCCTAGAAATCTCTTGTGCTCGCCTCTGATGGGAGGGTTCCCCGCCTCGCGGAGAGGCGAGGGCGGCCCCCTAAGGGCTCGGTCCCAAAACTCTGTCTCGGGGCGCTGCTGGCCGCGTGGCACGGCCCGGGGCCCCCAGTTGCCACCCGCTGGGGCCGGGGCGGTGGGGGCTCCGCGGCCGCTGCTCGAAGTTTCACAGCATAGAGCACTCACGACACAGAACCTACCCTGAAGCCGAGCGAGACGCGAGCTCTCTCCGCCTTCAAGGGCCGGGGGGAGCGGGAAGGGGGGCCCCGGCCACTCAGCAGCAGCCACGGCTGCGCGCGGTCGCGGGTGTGCGGGGCCCCTGCGCGGGGCGCGCCGCCCGCCGCCCAACTTTGCACAAAGGCAGCATGGCACTGCCTCGCCCTGCCGCCTCGCCCGGCGCCGCGGCCGCTCTTCCCAGTCCGGGGCCAGAGGGGCTCGCCCCTTTCCACCCGCAGCCCTCCCCTTCGCCTGCCCCCACCCCACTCCCAGGCGGGGCAGCCGGGCGGAACGGAGCACCCGGCACCTCGCTCCGCCGCCTTGGCGGCCGCTGCTCGCACTGTGACGTTAGCAGCCTTCGCGGCTATTTATATCCACACGATTGGATTTCATTCATGAAACCGGGGCCTGGTGTGTCTGTGCTCTGGGACACGGGTGGCAGAGCTGCCTCAGCTCTACGCAGACCCGACGGGCCCGGGCAAGGCGGCGGATGGCCCGGGACAAACCCGTGCAGAGCAGGGGCGACCCCGGCCCTTTCCCCGCGCTGCCGGGAGGGGAGGGTCTGGGCCACCTGTGCCCCCGTACCCCATCCCCAACATCCCACCCACTCCGGTGCATCTGCTGGCCCTTTGTCCTAGGCTCTGGAAAAGTAGGTTGGGCCACTAACCGGCTGGGCAGCATGGCTTTCTTCCCCCTAGGAGCTGACCGGCCGCGGACTCCGAGGGAGGACATTGGCTTTTGTTTCAAAACCGAGCCCAGCTGCTGACTAAGGGCTGCGTTAGCCCAGCCTCCTCCTCCCTGGGCGGCTGCACGTGCTGGCTGGCTCGCCCCCGCTGGGTTACCTTCCTCTGAGACTTGGTGGGAGGGGTCCTCGCAGGGGGCGTTAGGGACGTACAGCTGACCCCGACCCAGGTACAGCGGTGATTTATAACCTCCTGCAAATGGCGGAGTGGGGAGGTGAAATTGACTGTGTACTCCATGGGCTGTTTTGGAAGACCAAGACAGCCCATCCCTCCTCACAGAAACTCCTCTCTCTTCCGGGCTGACCCTTAGTTCTGAGGACAGAACCAGGGGTAGTTTTCATGCATTCGCAGAAATGCTTATAGAGTGACTACAGGATGCCAGGTGCCTTGCCAAGCTCTAAGGAGGTGACAGTGAAAGCAACCAACAGGATCCCTGCCCTCAGGAAGCTTTCAGTCAGCCTGCTAAAATTAGTATGCCTTACAAAACTTATCACTCTCAGCCTGTAAAGAGACCACTGGGGAATAAAGACACGACTGTGTTCAGCTACCCTGAGGAACATATACATTTAATAAACCTTTAATGAGTAGGCTGTGTGTGGAGAGCCGGGGATGCAAAGATGGAAACAAGGTCATTCTTGGCCTTACCAGTTCTCAGGTAATATGTTCCTGAGATACGGAAGGACTAGGAAAAAGAGAGTCCATCCTATTGTAAGGACTATTTCTTGGCTTATCCCCCCCAAAACAGGATGTGTGAAAAAATTCTAAAAGCAAACACATTTCTTTGTCCCTCAGCTTCTTCTAGGAGACCATCTTTAGTTTCCTGATGAATTACCCTCCGCCCAAGATTCCCAGATGAATTCCAGTCCAGTGGTATTTCTACTCTCTCACTTGCTTATAGCCTCTTGAAGACAAAGGCTTGCCTGGTGCTCCCTGAACCCCGCGGAGACCCCAGGACGTAGGGAAATCTAATGTTTTTATGAGGAAAGGTATGACCAGGAATCTCCTTTGTTTAAGCCATTCTCATTGCAGTATCTTTGAAAATGGAGTTACCAAGGCCCTAGTCTTGGATACCAGAAAGAGAGGGTAGTGAAAAGTCAAGTACAGGTGTCTACTTCAAGAACACATCCAAGAGGTGGTTGATCATTTACTTGGCATAAAACTGACTTGGTCTCTTGCAAAATGACTCCATTTTGAAAGGCTTAATCAAATGACATTCTTTTCAGGTACAAATTTCTTGGGAAAAGTTAATTAACCCTGTTCACTCCTAGCAATTAGTCCTCTTCGTTGCAAGCCATTTCTCTTCAAACTGCCCTGGCAGCTAAGAAATAGGGTAGAAACTCAAAATAAATGGGAATCAACATGTATCTCGGTCCTCACATGTGGTGGGCACAGGGCTGGGTGGCTTAAAACACATTTTCTCATGTAATCCCCACAACAACTGATGAGATAGATGCTGTTATTATCCAAATTATTTTACAGATGAGGTAACAGGTATGGAGAAGTTCCTTTTTCTGAGGTCTTGACAGTTGTATTTGCACCTGGGGTGGTCTGTGCCAAAGTCTTATTTTATCATTAACCTGCTTTTTAACAGCTTGCCTTTCCTCAGTTTCTTCCATTTTCTCAGTTCTAAATTAAAAAGAGTTCAGTGTCATGCTTCTGTTAAATAATAGGCAGGGGCCTATAACAGAAAGACACACAAGGACCCCAGCCGGCAGTGTACCCTTCAGCTCTTGACCTACACCCCCAGGGCACACAGAGGCTCACAGGCTTCCAAAAGATGCTTCTTCTAAAGGGGATAAAGAACAGTTAACTACCTTGGAATTACCTAGTTGAATGGGTAAATCTGAGGGAAACTAGAAGAACTTTCAAGAAAATGAGTTGGTATCAACAGTAATTCAGATATAGCAGAGGAAAATTCATTGTTCTGGAAAGTCCTTCCAAACAAGCGCAGTGATCAGAGAAAGACATTCCCACATGGTGATATGCAGCCCCAAACTTTATGTATAAAACCTCAGACTTTGGAAAAGTTGGAGAAAATGCAGCAAGTTGTACAGACTGTATTTTGCTAATAGGAAACCAGAGAAAATGAATCACAGCAAATAACCTCTGTAATCACTGCTGTGAGTGTATCCCTGCTCTCGTTATTTCCATGAAATGATCCATTTTTGTATATTAAAATCATTGCTTGCTAATAAAATTAGTACCATTCCCTTTTAAGCCAACATAAAAATTGGTACCTAAGTGGAATTAAACCAACATTGTATCTTTAAACACTTTCATGTTTCTATTGCACAAAGGCGATCTTAAAACTATTGACTAGCTTTTATGGCAAATATTTTCTCAAAGTCATAGGATTAAAAAAATCCCACAGTTTAGACACACAATCGTTCCGTTATCACAAAAGAATCCTCTCATACTATGTCTTTATATTTGCACCCCCAGCCCTCAACCATTAATCTGTTCTGCATCTCTAGAGTTTTTTCATTGTGAGACTGTTACATTAATGGGAATGTAAGTATGTAATGTTTTGAGGTTGACTTTTTTTTTAACTAAGCATAATGCTCCTGAGTTTCATCCAGCATAATGAACATATCAATAGTTCATTCCTTATTATTGCTGAGTAAATTTTTATTGCGTAGATGTACCAGAGTTTGTCCATTCACCCACTGCAGGATATTTGAGTCATTTCCATTATTTTGCTATTAATATTATGAAAAACACTTCTGTAAACATTTGTGTATAGGTTTTGTGTGAGCATAAATTTTTATTTCTGTGGGATGACTACTGAAGAATGCAATTGCTGGGTCACTTGCTAAATAAAAAAACGCTAAACCATTTTCCAGAGTGGCGGCACCATTCGCATTTCCACCAGTAATGTATGAGAGATCTACACATTCTCACTAGCGTTTGGTATTATTATTATTTTTTACAAAGTTTCACTTGTCATAACAGTTGCGTAGAGACAACTCATTGTAGTTTTAATTCACATTCCCCTAATGAATAACAATGTTGAATATATTTTCACTGGCTTTTTTTGCCATTCTTATCTCCTCTTTGCTGAAATATCTGCTCAAGTCTTTGCCTAGTTTATAATTGGATTGTCTGTCTTTTTGCTGTTGAGTTTTTAAGAGTTTTCAAAAATACATTTTGGGGTGGTAGAATTTTCAAATTGCAAATTAAGTGCTACTACGCCAAGGGAACTCTATTTTCAACTCAAATGCTATTGTTCAACATTTATATTGCCGTCAATTTTATCAAGAACATTCTTAGGTAAGAGAAGTACTTACATAAAACTCCTGTAGAGAGGGTCTTTTCAGGTTTATTCTATAAGACTGCATTTCAGTGGTTGGTAAGAAACAGGCAGACCTTAGCCACGTGTAGCCAAGGCTGAGCCTTGTGCACAGGTGCAGATGCCTCCTGGGGCCAACCCAGCTGGACACAGCAGTGGCCTTGTCCAACCAGGCCTAACCTAAGAAGAGAGCTTCAGGCTGTCCATCTCTCTGCTCTGGATGCAGCATGTGATGCTGTCATTGGCTATTTAGAAGAAATTATCCTGAATGATGAGTTCCATGTGTTACAGAGAAATTTCAGGGACTAGTACTAATGGGGATTTGACGCATGGTAGAGAATAAGCTGATGTATGGCTGTATTTTAGAGAGTAAGTGTTTGGTAGAAAGGCATATTGATAAACAGTTGTTAGAGTGGATTCTTGCAGGTAAGCCAGTGGCTTTAATAACACCTAACAACTTTTGGGCACCCTAAAGAGGAAGAGGCTGGTGACGTAGTTATGCTGTTCATGGTTATGGATTTTCTGACTTTTAAGGAAATCTGCACTACACTGCATGGGCACTGGCCTTAAGCAGTGGTTTTAGTGGCAGCTTTCTTGTACAAATCATTTTACATGTTAGCTTCTAGCAATGGGGCCAGTCTGGACAGCATGGGCCTAATGGGCTGTTGGGCTCCAGCTAGTGATGACAAACAGGAAAGCTAGTGGTGACAGACTGTTCTGAGGCTCTTCATTAATACTAAGTATTGACGGGTCATAAAGAAAATGACTTGACCTCCTGGGACCTCTGTTTCTCCTGAAATAGCTTATTGTGTTCAGTCACTCTAGTATTCCTGCTAAAATAGATGCTTCTGAGTCAGACTAGTCTCAGACAAGATGATGTCCAGCCTTCCATCTAGAGTCCCTTCCCCAGCTTTCATGTCATGGATATGTCAACATCATGGCATAACCTACCAGCACTAACCCTTTCTGTCCCATATACCACTGGCTGTCTTTCTTTTTTCTTTTTGAGACGGAGTTTTGCTCTTGTTGCCCAGACTGGAGTGCAATGGCGTGATCTCAGCTCATTGCAACCTGCGCCTCCCTGGTTCATGCAATTCTCCTGCCTCAGCCTCCCTAGTGGGAGGGATTATAAGCACGCACCACCACTCCCGGCTAATTTTGTATTTTTAGTTGAGACAGGGTTTCTCCATGTTGGTCAGGCTGGTCTTGAACTCCCTACCTCAGGTGATCCGCCTGCCTTGGCCTCCCAAAGTGCTGGGAT